TATAGGGGGTTCTATAGGATTTAGGGTTTAGGGTCCAAACTTTGTTAAATGGGATTCTACACTATAGGGTTTAGGGTTAAGGGCCTAAACTCCTTGAAGGGAGTTATTTAAGGGAGTTAAGGGTTCTGGATTTAGGGCATGCAGGGTTTGAGGTATTTTTCAAAAACATCTCAGTCCCCAGTAGCGATCCCCACGGTCCCCTGATGCTCCGTATTTATAGGCTGTGGATCTTCCAACAAGGTGGGCTGTTCGACCTTGGAAGCCCTGTTTGAAACTATAGTCCCCCTTAAGTAGATAGCATATGGGGTACCTGGGGATCTTATTATTATACACCCAACGCCATATTCTATCTACGTAAGGCGAGCTATAACCCTCAACCCTAAACCCTAAACCCTAAATAGTAGTTTCCATTTTCTTTTCCATTATCCCAATATAACCCCCATATTACCCCTATAAAAACCAATTATAATATGGTACTTTCCATTTTCTTTTCCATTATGCCAATATCACCCCCATATTCTATCTACTTAAGGGGGACTAGGGCTTGGTTCTGGATTCAGGAGCTTCAGGGTTGAGGGTTTCTGGATTTCGTGGCTTCGGGGTTTAGAGCTTTTGGATTTAGGGTTTAGGGTTTAGGGTTTATGGTTTGGGATTTAGGGATTCAGGGTTTAGGGCTCAGGGTTTAGGGTTCCGGGGCTAGCTTATTAGTCGCATTAGACTTGGCCAGTGAGCGTGACTCTTCATTCTACATTGTTCGGCTTCTTTCGGTGGGGCAAAAACGAAGGTTTACTGCTGTGTACTATCCCATCCTGGTTCCTCATGGCGGTTGCTGCAGCCAAAATTTGTGCAAGGCTGCCAAGTGCCGTGTTGTAAGCAGAAGAAGGTTACCCCCAAACCCTTCCACTCCACCAAACTAACGTGGAACCAGAAAATGTGTTTTTGTAGATAATTGCGTCTGAAAGGTGTGGCTGTATGGGGTTCCGTGTCAGTTTGGGGAGTGTAAACTCCTGAATCAGCAGCCCGCAAGCCACTATACAATCCCAGTCTCCATTTCACGTTCCTCCTTTTGATATTGTATTCTTAGGTATCTCTATGTCTTGGCTGCCTTTAGCCTGGAGGCTTGGTAGTTTGATTTTTGGGGTTTCCTACTATGTATATAAGCTGAGTTTTTAGCTTTTCGGCGCGGTCCTCCAGGCAGCAAAGGTATAAGGGCTCAGGGTTTAGGATATAACCCTATATCCTAAAGTTCCCTGTCCTAAACCCTAAATCCTAAACCCTAAACCTTAAACCCTAAACGACCTTACGTAAACCCTAAACCCTAAGTTCCAAGCAGTGGCAGGAAAGTACAGATTCCCTAGATTCTTGCAGTGCCTCGGGCTCTGTGGCCAGAACTCGGGAGTTACCCAAAGCAACCCCAACATAATCACAATAGTGATGAGGGTTAGGGTTTAGGGTTTAGGGCAGAAATTGAAAAATCAATAATACGACTAACAGCGAGCATAATGACTTAGCTCCTAATAGGGATCCTTGTATTCTCCTGCAATTCCCATAAACCCCTTTGAGATTATATGAGCCATAATCTAAACTCCTTAGAGGTCGGTTATAAGAGATTATAAGGCATGAAAAGGGGGATTACTACAGAGGTTGTTAAGGGGATGCTAGAAGTTTGGACTACGGCTCATATTACATCTGGAGCATGTTTTTAAATCCCTTTGAGGGGCATCTAAGAGTATATACCCTTGGCAGTTTTCATGTGGAACTCTGAAGTCATAGAACTACCATGCATTAGGGGTTTAGGGTTTAGAGGTTAGGGTTCAGGGCCTAGGGTTTAGGGTTTACGGTGTGGCCAGTGTGCGGACACTAACCATCCTACATTGCCTTGGCAGACTATAGCACTATAATTCCCAGCGTATACGATACTGCTTATCGGGGTTTTATGGGGGTCATGGAAAACAAAATGGAAACTATTACAGTGGGTTATATATTGTTTAGGCAAAAGGTATATGGTACTTCTGGTCATGCGGGATGTGAAGTAGCCACCGTAGTACCTCCATGGGTAGCCACTTCTTTGGAGGCAACGTGTAAGCCAGAGCGGCAGATCCGCCGGCGCTCAGATGCCAGACGGAGCCTTAAGTGCGGGAGTCCTGCGTTTAGGTTTTAGGGTTTTAGGGTTTAGGGTTTAGGGAAGCAACAGAGGGGTTGTATGAGGTTATGTAGGCAGAAAGACACACCACACATATGTAGATGTATATATCCGTACATGAACATGTTTACACATGTGTATAGGGGTTGCATAGGGATAACGACATTGATGTGGTGGGTTCAGGGTTTGGGATTTTGTATGTGTGCGTGGGGATGTGGTCAGTTGTCGCAGACTAGTTTACATTCTATTCCGATCTATTATGAAAAAGAGCAGGACGACAAGCAAAGCAGTTCCAAGCAGAAACATCTGGGACATTCTCACAACGACCCTAGATACTCCTCGAAGGTGGCCCTTACAATTAATTCATTATCTCCATATAACCTTGCTTTATTCCGAAGGGTCCCCAGCAATACCCCAGAATATCGAGGTCTCAGCCGAGACCGTGGCGACGGGTCAGGGCCCCGGGTGGTTTGGGAAACTGGGGCCAACTATGCTCGCTACCCCAAGAGTGCCAGCTTGTAATTTCTAAAGTAATTCATGGGGCGTGCGGTGCAACATTACTCTTTCTAACTCTAAAGATTCTGATAGTTCAGCTGTTCAAACCTGTAGCTGACCAAGTTCTGCCACCCGTTTTTTGTGTTTAGGGTTTAGGGCGAAGTCCGCCCTAGAACCTGAACTGATCTAAGGCCACAAGAGCCTGGGGCAAAAAGCGCCGCCGCCGCTTTCTCGGCAACAGGGAAGTTGCAAATTGCAAAAGTAAGTATAGTAATAGTAGCGACACAAGTAGCAAATGAGAAACAGGAAGGTAGGAATACCAGTTGTGGTAGTAGTAGTAGTAGTAGTAGTATGATGATGAGGAGGAGGAGGAGGATCTAGAAACTAGAACCCCGGTTAAGCACCCCATCCTACCGTCTGGTAATTTGTAGGAACCCCGTTGAGCGATCTACTCTCTAGAACCTCCCAGAAAGATTATGGCTGCAGAAGCCTGTCAATTTCTGGACGGGCGCATGGAAGGACTGTTCATAGGGTTTCGGGCTTACGAAACTACAGCGTGCCGGTAGATTTTCGGTCGCTTGTGCTTGGAGAACCTCTGACGCAAGGATCCCAGAAATGTCTTGGTCCATCATCTCCATCAGGCAGAGCCAGAAAGCAGCAGCTCTTCCTCATCCAGCAGCTACTTGGTTACAAGAATTTGATGGAGGGTTCCAAAATGGCGTTGGGACTTGTTAGCGGCTCTTGTGGGGGAAATGGCCAGGCTTAGTGTTCACCACTGGGCCCCTCAAATTTGCAACCCACCATGTCAATCGTTCGCTTGAACGGGAGTGAGTCCTTGCGTGTTGGGGATTTGGGGGGCGGAGAGTTGCCACATGGTAGTCTCGATCTTTAGTGGATGCCCTTGCAGCTGGAATGTTGCCTTTCCTAGCTTGAATTCGCAAGCAAGACTGCTCCACGCGCGGAACTGTTCAAGCATGTTTCTGCACCACACTTTGCCATGAGAGAATTGACCGAGCATTCCATGAATTCCACAAAGACAAGGCTGTAGGATCGCCAAAACAAAAGCGCGGTTATGATGACCTGCAAGCAGCTAAGCCAAAATGAGCGCTTGGTCTGAAATGACTATGACTGGACAAGACTTGGCAACGGCCAGAAAGCCACACCCCTTCCAACGTACCATATGCACCTCACTACCTAATACTTGTAGTGGCGAGTATCTGACGTACCACTACACGTCTCTTGTTCATGGCTATCGGCACTAGTAGTACCATGACAGACGGAAACGGGTAACCCCTATAATCCCTATATAACCCCATTATAGTACTTTTCCATTGTCCCAATATTACCTATATACAACCCCTATAATCCCTAAATAACCCCATTATAGTAGTTTCCATTTTCTTTTCCATTATCCCAATATTACCTATATACAACCCCTATAATCCCTATATAACCCCATTATAGTAGTTTCCATTTTCTTTTCCTCTATATAACACCTATAACCCCTATATAACCCTAAACCTTAAACCCTAAATAGGATGACAGTACATTCCTAATCCGTGCCATGGAGTTTGAGCGGGCCCTCTTTCGAATCCATCAGAAGACATTACTTGCGGAGCCTCTACGCCGGGTACGTATACAGCTAGAACGCATTCTCCCGGGAATACTAGCTGTGCAGGTTTTATTACTGGCCTGGCTGCACACCTCCTATGTTGGTCGAGCAAGCTGCTTACCGGACGTGCTTCAGCGAGCGGGGCTTTGGAACGAAAGCGCTTCGAAGCCTCTTTTGCCAGAAGACGCAATTCTGTACTTGACAGTAAACCTTGGAGATGGCATCACTGGGCTAACTATGGTTGAGGCCTCCAAAGGGCCAACCTCGGGTAACCAAAGCAGCGCAGCAAAACGGCTAGAAGATTCCTCGGATGTCCTGGCCAGCTATCGCTTTGCCCTGGACCGGGAGATTGTACAAATGAGAAAATCCGTCTTTCAGAAGCACAACTTTGCAGTCCACAATGTCTCACTGACCCAGGCTTGCCTTTCCACTTCCACAGCCCTGGCGGATGCCTTGAATTTCTTCAATTCCTGGGATGGCCTGGTGATTAATGAGTTGGCCTACAGCCTGCGGTCGCGTGGATACCTGGAACGGATGGATGGTGAACAGGTCTTTCTCCCAACAATCCCCATAGAATCTCAGAACAACGACCCGAACAGTCCTTCCATCATCCCCTAAAGATCCCTGTGTTCCCTGTATCCCATACGGCCCATGGACCCGCATTTTGAGAACCCCCACCAAACCCTGAACCCTATGCCCCATACACCCTAAACCCGAATCCCTCACCCTAATCCCAGAAACCGAATTCCTGAACCCTAAGCCCTAAACCCTACACCCCAAATCCTAAAACCTATACACCCTAAACCCGGATCCTTCAACCCTAATCCCAGAAACCGAATTCCTGAACCCTAAGCCCTGAGCCCTACACCCTAAACCCTTAACCCTAAACCTTAAACAGGTCCTTGAGGCTTGGGCCTGGACCTTGGATCAGGTAGAGTCCCCGAATCCAGAGCAAGGGCGCTCCTTGCTGGCCTCTCTTTTGCGCAAGGCGGCGGCTCCCGAAAAATTGGGTTTAGGGTTTAGGGGGGTATAGAGGCCTGTAGCGGGCACATAGGGTTATAATGGGATATTACAGGGATCTATAAGGGTTTCGGGCCCGCAATAATTAGGCATCCGGCCTGAGGGGCACCTATGATAAGGACTATAGTACGTTGGGATAAATTTTAGTGGCCCCGAAACCCTAAGCTCTAGACCCTAAACCCCAAACCCTAACCCTGTTGGAAAACACCAAGGTTGTCATACTCCTTAGCGCGGCGCTGTCCTTCGCATTGATCTCTGCTGTTACAGGGCTGTTTATCCGCATAGCAGTCCATGGCTCTGCGGTGCTCATGTTCCCCCTGGCATCTCCCATCCCCTCAGGAATTACGTTTGTCATTTTTCTTGGAGAAAAACCTAACCCGAAACCCCAAGCCCTAAACCCCAAACCCTATTCCTTAAATTATTAAACCCTAAACCTTAAACCTTAAACCCAGCTCCCTAAACTCTAAACCTTAAATTACTAAACCCTAAACCCTCAAACCTTAGATTGGTAAACCCTAAAACCTTAGATTATTACACCCTAAGCCCTAAACCTTAAATTAGTAAATTCCAGACCTTAAACCCCATTGTGAACATAGATTACAGGCATTGGCTGCCCAATCCCTGGGCCTGAGTCCTTCTCGCATGTCGGTGACTGGGTTGCTGTGAAGGGGTTTAGGATTTAGGGTTTATAGGGTTTAGGGTGTTATTCTAGTAATCCTAAACCCTAAACCCTTATCATAGTAACTTAGTTTAAGTTGTTCAACAGCAACCCAGGTGAATATACTCTCACGAAGCTTTCCCTGGATCGGCGTGCATGTCGCTTACTTGTGGTTAGTAGGGAATAAGGGAGTATGTTATATAGGGTTATATAGGGATTATGTAAAGAGTATATCGGGATTGTAGGGGTCATTTTAGGATAATCTTCCCGTATTCCCTACTAACTACCAGTTAGGTTGACGTTCTGCGTCGCGGAGGTCGCCCTGTGTGGCCTCTGCTTCGGTCGCACATGGCATTTCTGCTGGTGCAATCCTTCGCTTATTTGAGCTGCAATCTTGCTTGGAGATTTCTTCTCTACAGAAAGTCCTCTCCAGAGGGCTTCGAGGAGAACATTTTCAGTTTGTGCTCCCTGCTCGAGCTTTTCAACTTGATTTTTGTGCGATCGCCCGCATCAGCTGCACTGTATCCCAAGGTTGCCAGTGCCTCTGTCATTTATCTTCACTTTTACATATTCTGCTCTCTCTATCCGTTTCATGGCTTGGCATTTCTGACCTGTTCCGGAGCCTGTGCCTATGTCATGGTCTACTGCTTGAATCATTTCGAAGAGCCAGCACTTCGCGCCGACCCGTTCAGCAATACGACGCCCACTGTGGCGCATCCACGAGCTTTGTACCTGCCTTTGCTGTCGCCCTCGTGGACAATTGAGGCGGCACCGTTGTGGACCATGTTCTATCCACCCGAGCATGCCTCCACTTTCCCGGAGGATGCCATGCGTCACATACAGAGTGAAGAGTACAACATGCCGTGACAGGCACCTCTGGGCCTAGAAGCGCAAGAAAAGACAGCCTGCACGGTGTGAAGGGATACCGGGAGGTAAGCTGATATGTTTGTATGTGAGCTGGCTTCAGTAAGCGCCACTGACTTCAGGTGGCTCCAGAAAGCGACAGCGCGCGCCTTCTTCGGACGAGGCATGCGCCATGCTTTTGACCCTCAGCACGAGCGTATTTGCCAGCCTGCCAAGATACTTACCTTCATTCCTACTGGCACCACTATTAGTACTATTATGACTATCGCTGTTTTTATTATCATTAATTAAGTCTCTGAGTGAGCTGGCAGGAAACAGCGAAACAAGAAGGCGCCAGACTCAGAGAATTACTAGTCAAGTGCATGAGCATCCTCTGCCCAGACACATGATTGAAGGCCAGCCTCGTGCAGATGTTGCCGATGTGGCTGATGTAGCATGACCCCCCCCAGACCCCTGAAATTATGTAGAAAGTAGATCCCGTACAAGAGTTCCTAAAACTTATCCTATAGTAGTACCTAGACCTAGACCCTCCCTCTACGCTCCATGATACCCTAAATACGCTCAATTTCAAGTCTCCGGATTTAGGGTTGGGTTTAGGGATGGATACTTTTGCTTTTGCGTTTGGCACCGAGGCAGTTTCTGACAGCTGAGCTGCTGAGGTGTGCACTTCCAACGATTATGGAAGCCATGGATGTTTTTGGGTGCGTTTGGGGGTATATTGGGACAAATTGGGAGCTGGATTTGAGAAGCATCAGCTGGTTGGTTATCAAAATTTGGGGTTTCGGGCCCTAAAGCCTAAACCCTAAACCCCACATAGGGACCTATAGCAGTTTCCATTTTATTTTCCGTTATCCCTATAGAACCCCTATACAACCCTTACATAACCCGTATACAACCCCTACATAGAACCCCTAATAATCCCTATATAATCCCTATACCGTAGCCTATACCTTTGATCTGAGGTGCCCCCGGAGCTCCCATGAACAATTCCGAGATGTGCTGGCCTCAGACGGGGAGGGTCAACGCTACTTCGTAGGTTGCAAGTAAATTTTAGAAGTTTTCCATACATGAGAGGGTTTTAACATAGGCCTCAATGAATATTGGGAAACTTGAAATTTATATATATATATACACATGTGTATACATACATATATATATATATTTAGGTCTAGGTATACGTACCCTCACATGGAGGGACGTCTAAAATCGGAACCGCTTAGCCTTGTACCAATGAAACGGGGCTGCTGCAAGGACGACATAACTTGTAAGTTCTTGGACCCCTGGAAGGATCCAGAAAGTAGATCCCCGAGGGTTCCTAGAAAAGTTATAGTTCCCCTCAAGTAGATAGATAAGATCCCTACATACCCCATATTCTGTCTACTCAAGGGGGACTATACCCACTATTGCAGGTTCTACTTTCTAGATCCTCCCATGGGCTGGATTCCGAACATTTGGGAACAGTCTCCTGCCTCCAGTCCCCGTGGCGTGGCTAGTTGCTTGTTCAGCGGTATGGTCAGCATGCAACTTTCGGAACCGTTATAGTGGCCCGTAAGTCAATCTAATATAGGGTATATGGCGGATCTTACCATCATATTGGGCAATTCCATATTCTATTTGCTCGAAAGGACTGTCTGTTGAGAGGCGTGAAGACTGACAGGTGATCGCTTCACTCAAAGCAGCGATGATCACATAAGGGGTTGTCAAAACTACGATCCCTTTGCGGGTAGCTTCTTTAATACGGCCCCCAATATATAGGGCAGCCAGAGAAGGACCGCAATCGTGATACGTACACATGTATGCATATTGTTGGGATTCGGACGGTGGGTCGCCACTTGCAGCACTAGCCTTCCTACAGTGTTGCTACAAGTTGTCGGGTTTTGCACCTATCCTCCAAATTCGTGTTTGTGTTTGTACCAGTATGCCCTGAAACCTAAACCCCTTCTGATCCCCGAGGTTGAGTTCCATCGCAAGAAAGATAACTGGAAGATGTCCTTTCTGGCGGGCCCTTGTCTCCAAACACTGTAAACCATAATAAATCATGATTCTATGTCTTCTTTTCTCTTACTGTTAGTAGGGAATCTTGGAACATATCATCTTGGGATTATATATGGGGAGTATACTCCGTTATTCCCTACGAACCAGAAGTAAGATTTCAGGTCTTTTCTTCTAGCTTCACAAGAACTGATTTGATTCAGAAAACCATAGTTTCAAATCGGTCGACCCCCCCTACTTTGCCAATATTCTCCTTGGCAGAAACATAATGTGAGCAAGGCATGGCTTCAGTGGTTCTTCATGGTAGTATAGTCCCCCTAAAGTAGATGAATATGGGGTATATGGGGATCTTATTATAATCTACCCGAAGGCTATATTCTATCTACTTAAGGGGGACTGTAGTAGTACACAGTCTGTCGCCACAGACAAAGTCATGCATTTGTGGGAGCTCACCGCGATGTAGCTCTTGTATCATGGTGAGGTAGGCATGAGGGCGTGTGTGTACGGGCGGCTTCCGGTTACTTTTGTTCATGGGTGAGATGCTGCACTTCCCCAGACACCGCAAATCACCGGAAAGACAAGAACTCTGACATGTTTGCAGGGACGCTCTCAACAAATTCGAAGTGGTTTCAGGGTCATTGCAGTAAGGCCAACAGATCCTCGACGACTGCGGGTCGCGCAGGAGCATGCCCCCACACTTGTGTAATTGCAGCAGTTGTTGTTGGGAAGGTCGGAGGGTGTTGGTTGTAGCGGCGATCATGGAAGCAGTAGGACAAAAGTGGCGCATTGGTCGCGGCGGTGGTAGAGGTAGTTTCATCGGCAGCGGCAGTTGCAATTGCAGCAGCTGCAGCAAGAAGCAGCAAGAAGCAGGAACTGGAGCGGTGATGGGCTTACTGCTGACGCCGCCACATACGCTCAGACATTAATGGCATCAGGACTGGCAAAATAAGCAAGTCAGAAGACTTAAGTATACCTCACCCCAGAGCAGATCTTGGACAAGTCACTTCAAGGACTTGATGCAAGGGATACTGTTGGAGGGTGGGCAGTGCTTTGCTGGAGTGTTTAGGATAGCGCCCTTGCCCTGAAGTCAACCAAGACTCCTGCGTCAAAATGGGGGGGGGTGTCGACAACAGAGGTTTTTTTGGGTTCGGATAGTGGAGCTTAATTATCATGTTTTGGCGGTACAGAAGGCGTACCCCTGTTTTCGAGAATTCCCAAGTCGATTCCCCAAATTAGGGAACCGCCTATGCATGCTAGGGATAATGTGTGCCTTTAGTATTTAGGATTGCTGAGCATTAATCAGCAAGGATCGCAAGTCTGTAAGGTGGCTATGAGGACCCTTATAAGGATCAATGTCATGCTGATTATGTTGAGAAACAAATCACAATCTGGGCAATTTCCCTTCAGCAGGACTACTCGGACGTGTACTGAATCGACAGCCATAGCCTCTTAGGAGTCAAGCGCGGGGAGATGGCTAAGATGGCTTTAGGGTTTAGGTTTAGGGTCTATTGTTCAGGCTTTATGGAGGTTCACGGGTATAATTATGGGTGCGGGGGATGCGGAGAATTATATTACTTTGCGAACTTGAGGGGTTTAGAACAACTCTCATAAACAGTTGCCTGTGAATCTCCAAGTCGTCACTTCTGGTGGTTATGTAGGCTTCGCGCCTTGTTGGGTCATTCCAGATTCTTTTCCACAGAATGCACAGCATATGACTGCTGAAAGGGATGATGAAGTTTCTGTAAACTATTTAGCTGCAGATGCTCCCCGCAGCTTACCAAATCCTCCCCAGATCCTGCTACCAGGGTCCGTGTTCAGGATCTAATCTGAATGAATGCGATGCAGACTGGAAAGCATGAGCTCCCTTACCCCGACACTCACCAGTGAATGTCATCTCTATAAAAGTGTTTTATCAAACTATGACCTGATATGAGGCGCGGTCATAATTATCGTTTACTTCATTTATTCTAGGCGGTAGCTGTCGCGCATGTTTTTCAAGATCGATCGGGGACGTCCTAAAACCATAGGCTTCATTCATTTAAGCTAGGGTTAAGAGAAGATCCCCAAAACGTGGAAATCGATAGGGGACGCCTTAATTCGAAAACCAAGAAAGAACAGACAAGCAATTCTGATGCCATCTCATCTGTCAAGTGAAGTGCCTACTTAGATTAGATGTGACCAGGCGTCGCCATGCGCAGAACCTCTACAAGGTGTGTTAACGGCACTTTGAGTTCATGTAGACCTCCATATATCATCTGGATCAATGTTAGGGGTCCTTTATACTTCTTGGGGTATAGGATTCCTTCTATTTATGTAAAAGGATCCTTTTTTCCCCGAAACCCTAAACCCTAGACCCTAAACCCTAAACCCTAGGATCCTTTTTTCTTCCTCGAGTAATGTGGGCTAAGTCATGGTATTTGGGATATGCGGTTGGCATTCTTAGAGGCTCAAGGGATGCTTTAGACATAGTTCTTACCCATTTAGGGTTTAGGGTTTAGGGTTTGGGGTTTAGGGTTTAGGGTTTAGGGTTCAAGGTCCAAGCTGAATCCCTAGACCCCTAACATGTGAATCCCTTCACCCTGAACCTGCTACACCCTAAACCTTAAGCCCTAAATCCGAACCTTTAACCCTAAAGCCTAAACTAAGCCCTAAAGCTTGAACCCTAAACCTTAAAACCTAAACCTTAAGCCCTAAACCGTAAACCCTAAACCCTACAAGCAGGGTTTTGGGGAGTGCAGTGTCTCACCCAACAGCCGTCGACAGCTCAGTGCCAGCAGCTCTGTCTGCCAGGCTGGCAATGGGAGCTTTGAAAAAATTGCTTAGCAGGTTTGGGGCTTATAGGGGTGAAGGGCTTTGGGGTTCCGGGGCTTTAGGGTTTAGGGGTTTAGGATTCAGGGGCTTAGGGGTTTACGTAGTGTTTAGGGGTTGGAGTTCAGGAGTTAAGCGTTAAGGGCATTCCTTGTGAGAAGAACTGTGTGATATTATGTTGGAGGCATAAATAGTAACTTGAC